CTGGTTGTACCCAAGCCATACAACAATCGAATTGGGTACAATCAGCCTACCCATAGATTATTTGAATCTTGGCTGGTCCCTGCTGAACCAGCCGAGATGCATGCCATCTATGGCCAGCTTAAGGTATTCTTAATATCCAGGTTTTAAGACAGCATATTACAGTCTACTTAGCATTTCCATCTGACAGTTTTTTTAGAAGAATATTGTATTTTTTTTAATACAATGTCTTTTATTGTAATTTTAACAAGATGTCATGGGGAGTAAAGATTGTTCTTTTTATAGAAGGGTTTCTGTAATTGGGACACTAATAACAGCTTTTTATATGTAGGAAGATGGACTATTTACAGGGGTTAGACAAAAAAATGGAAACATTACATGATTTGTAGACTATGAAAGTAACAACATGTTTTGCGTTGAAAGTGGAAGTGATGTAACATTCTTTTGCTTCCACTGTGTGATGAGACACCTAGCTAACAGGAGGGAAGCCTCACTTTCGTCATTCACTGCGTGCGCTGCTAGTAATATGGAGTCATGTCAGAGTTTACTGGCCTTCAAAGAGGGCAAATTGTTGATGCCGCTTAGCTAGTGCTTATGTGACTGAAGTTAACAATTTATTTGCTGTGTCGCAAAATACAGCATCAAAGGTTATGACGGCATATACAGTTTCCATTAAAACGTTATCTGATAAGCACAAGCACGGTCAACATGATCAACTGACTGAAAAATACAAAAGGAAGCAGGATTGTGAGCTGTGATAAGAAAACAACTGCTGCAAAAGTGACTGCAGAACTCGATCTCAGTCTTCAGAGGACAAAGAATATTTAATTATGGTTGAACTGGATGGACTTTTGTCTTTTTTCAGCCAGACTAACTATGTAACTATGTAATTATTAAGACTGCTATGACTTAAAATTTTGCAAGGATGGGTATTCATTTCAAATGTATTCTCCCACCCCTTCCTGACTCCTATGCCTCTATGACTAAGCCCTAAGTGATGGTGAAAACATGTCAGTAGAGGAGCAACAGCATTCAGCATAAGCACTATATGTAATTGAAAATAGAGTTGAATGAAAAAATAAGACCAGTGGTGTGTGGCTTGTTGGCAAGTAACTCCATCACTACTGAAGTTGTAAGCCCGCCATTTACAATACCCTTAAAATAGTTGTTTACTACTAGTGATTATTAAAGTGTATTTCACCCTAAATATTTATTTTTTTAATATGTGCATATTCACATATGTGTATTTTAGAAATCATCCTATTTCCAACCCTACTCGGAATGAATTATAATGCTGTTTTTGAGCAAAGTCAACTAGTCCAACATTATTACCTAAAATCATAAATGCTCAATTGCTCACACTTCAAAATCTTGTGGAAAGTCTTCCTAGGAGATAGGATGTTTTTATTGTCTCAGAAAGGAGGACAACTTCATATTAATGCACATGGTTTTAGAAACATATGTCCAACAAGCTCATATAGGAGTGAAGGTTAGGTGTTTGCTAACCTTTGGCCATACAGTGTAGGGCTGAAGGCAAGGCCACTTGGCCTTGTCATTGCCAGCAAAATCACTCCAATGCACTGCAGGTGCCTAACCAAGTTGACTAATTTTAAATGACCATGCAATGCTGAAGGGCAAGAGGACTGGTATGAGCATGGCAGAGGATCATAAACTTGCCAGTAAGTACTAGCCTAGATACCTGGTGCCTAAAGCTAGTAGTAGCAGATGGGAACAATGTTGTTGTTGTTGTGCTTTTTATTTTACATTTTGCTCTTGACGAAAACCCCAATAAAGCCAGTATAAAAGCACAGATTTAATGCTATAGATAGCGGGTCTCTATAAGGAATATGTATTACATAGCTAATAGCCATCTTTGGGGAATTTTCATACACTATGTGCCTTTGGAATGCAAGGCACCTGATTCTTTGAATTATAAATAATAAGAAAAGTACAGTAAGTACTTCTTCCCAAACACTTTTTCATGAATTTGTGGCAAATATCTTTATCAGTACTCCCCATATTTCACAGATTACATCAGTCGTATCACTAACAATGCAGTAGGTTTCTGATCCATTTCTAGCCTGCATGATACAGCCTGCTATATGGATTTATTTCACTTTTTTTTTTTATTGTGGTTACTCCAGCTGTTACAGTATATGAATCTTGGTACAAACCCTGATGATTCTCCCCTAAGATTTGGCAGTGGACTGTTCCTCAGCGTTCCCATGTTCACTACATCAGTCTTGATGTCAGTGGGCATCTGACTGCCAAAGCATAGGGGAGAAGAAGCTGTGGGGATATGGTAGCAGCACAGAAGGGTCTTGGGGAGCACAAGATCAGGTAGGTAAATCTGCTTTTCCTGTCCCCCTAGACCTAACGAGTATTTTACCCTTGCAGTTTAGGGGCATGGGGAACATTATTACTTTCCACAGAGTAGCTTTAAAAACTCAGCACATTTAAATCTAATGTTTCAGTTTCTGGTAATCACCACAGAGCTAAATCAGTTCAATGACCACTTTTTTGAATATTGTTCTATTTTTGTAATGGTAAACAGTAAATACACAATAAGCTGTCCTGCAAAAATGACAATGACAGGTGTTGGAAAAAACTATACTACTGTTTGGGTGCTGACAATGGTCACCTTTTATTTCCACGATACATGCTTCTTTTCTAAGAAGAAAAACTATTGCTGCATTTTATTAGGAATCTCTGTCAGTTTTATAGTTTGTCCCAACTCTTTTGGGGAGATTTACTAAAACTTGTGCACTCAGAATCTGGAGCAGCTGTGCATGGGAGCCAATCAGCTTCTAACTTCAGCTTGTTCAATTAAGGTTTGACAATAAAACCTGGAAGCTGATTGGATTCTATGCAGAGCTGCACCAGATTTTCCACCATGCAGTTTTAGTAAATAACCCCCACAGCGAATCTGGATAGACAGTTTGTCTGCATTTACATGTGGAGAAAAAAACATCAACAAAGGAACGTGAAATCAAAAAATAATTAATATACTGAATACTGTCATTACATATTCACTCTCTTTCAATCAGTTATTAGAATAGAATATTTTTATGATAATGCTCCTTTAATGCTTTATTATATCTCAGCTAGATTTTACTGCATGATCTGCTCACTTTCTGAATTCCAGACGGCTCAGCTGGTCATTTTCTGAATCTTCTATGTCCTGTAAATCACCAAAGACGCTTATACAATAGTAGAAATATAGAAACTCAGCGCTGGTCATTTTCCAAGATGAAAAAAGGTGCAGCGCTAGTAAAAGTGTCAACATTCTATGTCCTGTAAATCACCAAAGGGGTACGGTGTGCTTATACAATGAGTAGAAATATATTAATTAAATGCATTCATTTCAAAAAAACATGTATCTTCAGTTCTTCAAACATATCTAACTTACATAAAACATATCTAACTATAATGTATCCAGAATTTATGATACAAAGGCAGATATTGAGCTTACATATCCTGTTCCTAACCCTACCATAGGTACTGTATATAGTTAACATAGAAACCAAGGCATGTCACACCATGTACTTTATTTGAGTATGTTGTCTTGCTACACAGCCCCTACCTATAGCCATGCTCCCTCTGATGCATTTCACTGGATTGGGCTCACTTGAAGAGTCTACAACTAAGCTTCAATCAGAGTAAAACACATCAGAGGGGCATGGCTATAGGTAGGGACTGTGTTGGAATCCAGCATGAACGAATAAATTGAATGGCGTAATGTCATCAGAATGCGACTTTGATTTTCATGTTTGCTATGTTGTATGGAACGGAGACAAGCTCTCTAAAGTTGGCACCTAACTCATTAAGGACTGGAGACCTATCCACAGGGTTTGCAGTGGTGCTGATTTCTTCACTTGTACTGTGTATACTGTAGCTACTGTACATAGCCCAGCTTTTACTCCTTAGTAATATCAGTGTTGTTTAGTTTTAAGATTGCACTTTAAAACACATAAGAACAATTAAAAAAAAAACCTAAAACATAAGATACAGTGATTTTTTTTTACTTGTAGCCTGACTGATGCACTTTCATAAGCCATGCTACTTCATTATACTGTTTGATACAACCATTCGAGTTGGTTACCTTTAAAGGACCTTTAAATTCTGTGCATTATAGCCCCCTGTTTTTTAATTAACTGCCAAAGTTCTTTTAATTTAGAGTCGGTTTTAAAGATCAGAAATCCTTTTGTTGTATCACAGACCCATGCTATTCAAACCAATATCCTCTTTTTTCACAGAGGGTCAGCTGTATTAGTGCTCAGTGAGAGACAAGATGCCTGATTTCCTGAAAGTGTTAAATTAAATTTTTTTTCTGACAAATTAGATTAAAACATGGAATTACATTTCAATTATAGTTAACAATTTTTTTAATACAGATTGCTCCATTTGCAGTTGCCATTTGACAGTATAAACTTTAGATGGAATATGTCTGCAATCCAGTTTTTGCTAGGCACTGTTGCATGGTGGTAGGTACCGTATCCACAGTGATACAGACATGAACAGATATCACTGGGAAGCTGCAGCTGTTCAGCTAAATGTTTTCAGCTACAGATGAATACCATCAATATGCAGAAATTGTGGTCAGAGTACAAACCACATCAAACGCTCAATAAAGCTTCCAGTAGAGTCACGTTGCTTCCTGGCTTATTGTTCTCACCTGAAGGATACATGCTGCTAGAAACTACAATGCTGTCAAACAATAAAAGAGGAAAATTTCCAGCTCAACTTACCAATCAGCTTGCAAACACACCGAATTAGCCTGTCTAAGAATGTGCATGTGTGCTAACTAAACCTGTTTTTAATGCATACTGTTAGACAGGCTAATTTGTTTTTTTTTTTTGCAAGCTGGTTGGTAAGTTGAGCCGGGAATTTTTCTCTTTTATTGTTTGACATGCATCGCCCTTCCATGTGCTCCTTGATGTGAAGGCCAGTTATAGACTGGGGCAGTGGCCATTTTTTGTAGTATAAAATCAAGCACCTAGGCGTGCAGACTGCTTCTACAAACACTTGTGAAAGAATGGGTCGCTCTCAGGAGCTCAGTGAATTAAAGTGTGGTACCATGATAAGTTGCCACCTGTGCAATAAGTCCATTCATGAAATGTCCTTGCTACTAAATATACTACAGTCAACTGTTAGTGGTATTATAACAAAGTGGTAGAAATTGGGAACAGCCACAAAGTGGTAGGTCATGTAAAACGACAGAGCAGGGTCAGCGCATGCTGAAGCGCACAGTGAGCAGAAGTTGCCAACTGTCTGCAGAGTCAATAGCTAAAGACCTCCAAACTTTGTGTGGCCTTACAGTGGTGTAAAGCATGCTGCCACTGAACTCTAGAGCAGTAGGGACATGTTTTCTGGAGTGACAAATCACACTTCTCTGTCTGGCAGTCCAATGGACGTGTCTGGGTTTGGGTGGTTGCCAGGAGAATGGTACTTGCCTGACTGCATTGTGCCAAGTGTAAAGTTTGGTGGATGGGGGATTATGTTGTGAGGTTGTTTTTCAGCGGTTGGTCTTAGTCCCTTAGTTCAAGTAAAGGGAGCTCTTAAGGCATCAGCATACCAAGACATTTTGGGACAATTTCATGTTCCCAAATTTGAGGAACAGTTTGGGGGTGGCCCCTTCCTGTTTCAACATGACTGTGCACCTGTGCACAAAGCAAGGTCCATAAAGACATGGATGAGTGAGTTTGGAGTGGAGAAACTTGACTGGCCTTTACAGAGTCCTGACCTAAACCCGATAGAACACCTTTGGGATAATTTAGAGACTGCGAGCCAGGCCTTCTAGTCCAACATCAATGCCTCACCTCACAAATGCGCTTCTGGAAGAATGGTCAAACATTCCCATAGACACACTCCTAAAACTTATGGACAGCCTTCCCAGAAGAGTTGAAGCTGTTATAGCTGCAAAGGGTGGGCCAACACAATATTGAAGAAGACTGGGATGCTATTAAAGTTCATGTGTGTGTAAAGACAGGCTTCCAAATACTTTTGAAAATATAGTGTATATATGCAAAATAAATAAATTAATAAATGGAAAATGCAATACATATTGTTAGTTATCATATAGAGGACTAGGTGATATGATCTCAAATCCCTTCCACAGACGACAAACAGTAGTTTCTGATCTCCTCTTTCTCTTTTGCCTTAATGCCAGGATGAATGAAATATCTTTCTCTATACTTCTCATAAGCCTGTCTTACCACCAACTCGTCATACCCTTTTTTCCACAAACTTTAGTTTGAGGACCTTGCTCTGTTCATCATAATTCTCTAATATTGTCCAGGTCCTTTTTAGGCGGCAAATTTGCCCCAAGGGAACTTTTTTTATCTATCTAGGATGGTGGTGGCTACGAGCATGTAAATAAGAATTCCCTGCCGATGGTTTAAAGTGTGTCCTAGATATAATGCTTAGGTCAACATCAACCATAAGTTCCAAATCAGGGAACACAAGTTTTTCATCATCTATCATGTGCGTGAAGTCAATGTTGAATGGATTGCCTCTGCATTGTTGGATGAATTGTTCCAGCTCGCAATTGGTGCCATTGAAGATGATAAGGATGTCATCAATGTACCGTGCAAATAGGATCAGGTTTGCCCCAAACGGGTTGTTGCTCCAAATGTGTAATTTTTCCCAGTATCTCATGAACAGGTTAGCACAACTTGGGGCGAACCTGGCCCCCATACCTGTCCCCTTGACTTGTCTATAGAATGTAAGAAAGCATACAGGTGGCACAAACAACTAGTGCATTATCCAAGGTTTATTAAAAATATATATAAAATTGTAAAAACATGATAATCATTATAATGCATTGTAACGGTTAAGAGATGAAGATACATGTGCTGAGCAACCATATCAAAGCAACTTAGATGTGAAATGGGGAGGTATAAATGGTGTTTAATACAGCCATTTGAAGTTACAGTACCTCTAAATGGGACCCACAACTTTGTGCTTGTATGGTTATAGAATGCCATAGACAGTCAAGTTAGTGTGTGCTAATCCATGGGAATGGCTGGTAAATGTCAGAATTGGAACTGTTTTGAAGCTGAAATGGCCAGCGTGGTTGTGCGTTCCAAAGGCTGGAAGGTTAGAACCGGAAGTATGTCATAAATTACGTCATATCCGGTACTCGCAAGCAAACTGAAATGAGACTGAAATGGCCACCGGACATCTTTAAGACATCTTTATCAATATCCCTAAACTCACCATCTAATTCTTTGGGGTCTAAAAGGACCTTATCCTTGGTACTTTTTCTCATAGAGAAATATCTCTTTAAGGTGAGAATATTACGGCCAAAATTTATTTAGATCAAACAAATTAATAGTTCGAAAGTCTTTGTTTATCCTAAAAAAGGTATATGTATTAATGTGATACCCTAAGTAATGACAAAATACTACTGAATAAAAAGGCTCATAGCAGAAATTGTGAAAAAGGCTCTGGTCCATAGGGGCTTACAAGTGTGAGAGCTAAGTGAGTAATATTATTGGTCCTTTTTTTTGTTTGATTTTGTGTTTGTTTTGAGGCAGAGAAGAAGATGGATGTTTTAATTATTTGTTTTAGTGGAAATCAAATCAGAACCTTAACAAAGGGAGGGGAAATATAAATAATGAATAAGATAAAAACTAACATTTTTATTATGCATATAAAGTCTCGTCCTCCAACAGATAAATGTTTCCTTGGCAAAATATAAGGGAATGTCCCCTGTATGTTAATGATAATTTATTTCCAAACTGACTTTGCACATTCCTTAGACCAAAAGTTTTTGTAATAGATTATGTCACAGTGCTGTACCCGCTATAGTACACAGTAAAACAGACTCATAACAAATACTCTTTGTTGACTTTTTTCAGTGACCAGAGTTTCTTCTTCTTCAAGATGTAGTAGATTGAATTGTAGCAGCTGGTTAGTATAGAGGTCTTTAAAGCAGTTAAGCAACACTTATAATACAGAATATTATTGAATTAACACACATTAACATATTTAATATGATGATTGGAGGCAAAACAATAAAATCATTTGCTAAATATATATACAGTAGATACATTCCATATGTTGTAATGTATTAAAAAAAAATAAAAAACTGTTATTTTAGTAAACTGTACCTTAAATTATCCTTTGAGCATCATTAACGATTCATTAGTTATGTATTCATTAGCTCCTATAATATTAAAAGGATGAAAAAGCAAGTCATTACAGAGTATGTCAGGCTTGCTCTTTTATTTGTTATCACAGTTTTTGAAGCTTGAACAAAAACCTTTACTATTCCTGGACATACTTTTTTAGTTTTCCTCTCGATTTTAATCTATAGATGCAGTGACAAACCTCTTGAGTTATTCAAAATGTGTGGCCATCTCCTAAACCACGATGAAAATTCAGCTGCCAACTTAACACCACAGCTTTTTCTCTTTTTTTTTTCTTGTATGTAATAAAAATATACACATGTTTTGCAGGTACTGTAAAAAAGAAACTGAAAGAAAAATAAAAAAAAAAATCCTTACAAAGTAATATATGTACCCAACAGATTTTTGCAAATTAATAATATCTGACCATAAAATCATTTTATATCTATTTTTTAAATGTTTCTATTGCCACTATATCAAGATAGGGGAAATGCAATATTGCTTTAGTGTCAATGTTGTATTTCTGTAGTGCAGAAGTTTAAAGTATAATATAGTAATTTCTTTTATTTCAGGACTTATACAGCGCTGTCAATTTACTCAGACTTTACATATATATATATTGTTCATACACATCAGTCCTTAACCCTCAAGGAGTGTACAATCTAATGTCCCCTAACCTACATACTAGGGCCAGTTTTAGACAGGATCCAATTAACCTAACAGCATGTCTTTGGAGTTTTGGATGAAACCGGAGTAGCCCGAAGAAACCCACTCGGAGGCTCAGGGAGAACATGCAAACTCCAGGCAGGTGGTGCTGTGGTTTATATGTATCCTATCTATATCCTTGAGCATCATTAACGATCATTAGTTATGTATTCATTAGCTCCATAATATTAGAGGAAGAAAAAGCCAAGTCCATTACAGAGTATGTCCAGGCTTGCTCTGTATTTGTTATCACAGTTGTTGAAGCTTGAACAAAGACCTTTACTATGCCTGGACATACTTTATTAGTTCCTCTCGATTTTTATCTATAGATGCAGCGACCAAACCTCTAGGTTATTCAAAAATGTGTGCCAGCTCCTAACCGACATGAAAATTCCAGCTGCCCAACATAACACCACACAAGCTTTTTTCCTTCTCTTTTTTTTTTCCCTTGTATGTAAAAAAAATATACACATGTTTTGCAGGTACTGTAAAAAAAGAAACTGAAAATAAAAAAAAAAAAAACCTACAAAGTAATATATGTAACACCAACAGAATTTTTGCAAATAATAATAACTGACCAAAAATCATTTTATATCTATTTTTTAAAATGTTCTATTGACTAACTATATCAAGATAGGGAAATGCATTATTGCTTCAGTGTCAATTTGTTTTCTGTAGTGCAGATTAGTTTAAAGTTTTGGGCGGTAGCTTGAGGGCTGTGATTGGAGGAATGAGGAGATTAAGTGGGGCTGAGGACTGTGATGTGGGGGCCAGAGGACATGTAAAGATGGAGGAGCTGAGGACAGTAATTTGGGGACTAGAGGGATTTGAATGGGAAACTGAGGACTGTAATTGGGGGGGGCTGAGACATTAGAGTGGGGGGGCTTGAGGACAGTGAATGTGGGGGTCTGAGGACATGAAATGAGGTTTGCTGAGGAAATCGATGTAGAGTGTCTGAGGACATTAAAGGGGTGGGGAGGCTGAGGACTAATATTTGTGGAGGTTAGGACATTAAAGTGGGGGACAAAGGACTGTGATGTGGGGGGGGATGAGGACATAAATGGGGGGTTCATGAAGACATAAACAAGGGTGTCTGAGAATATTGGAAGGTGGGGGGCTGAGTACATTAAAAGTGGGGGCTGAGGACTGTAAAAGAGAGGGCTAAGGACAGAATGTGGGGGGGGGGACTGGTATGGGGGGGGGGGGGTAAACATTAATGGAAGGGGCTGAGGACTTTTTATGGGGGGGATGGGGAGAGTAAAGGGGGGGTGAGGAAGGGTGGGGGGGGACTGATGACATAAAGTTGGAGGACCTGGGGGACTTTAATTTGGGGAGATTTGAGGACATTGAATGGGGAAGCTGAGGATGTAATTGGGGGGGGGGGGTGAGGACTTAGCTGGGGAGGCGGGGGAAGTGTTTGGGGGGGGCTGGGACATTAAAAGGGGTCTAAGGAAATTTGATGTGGGGGGGCTAAGGACAAAAAAGGGGGGGAGGCAGAGGACTAAATTTGGGGTGGGGGGTTAAGCATTAAAGGGGGGGATGAAGGCTGGGATGTGGGGGATGAGGACATTAAAGGGGGGGGGGGGAGGAATTATGTGGGGCTGATACATAAGAGGGGACTGAGCAAGGGTTGGGGGAAGTGGGGACTTAAGTGGGGGGGCTGAGGACTGTTGATGAGGGGGGATGAGGATAGTAAAAGTGGGGGGCTGATAACTGTGATGTGGGGGGCTGATGACTGTGATGTGGGGGGGCCTGAGGACTGTG